AAAAAAAAAAAAAAAAAAGACCCTTATAAGAGCCCATAATGTTCCAATTTCTGCTGTTGCTACTGCTGCTATTGTTGGAGCCACTGTCAGAGTGTAGATAAACAAGCACCAGCAAAAGACGTGACTGAGAAGGCAGGGGTGGGAGTACAATGAGAGGAAGCGGGGAGAGAATGGAGCGTGCCCAGCCCCACCCACTGTTCGGCCCACCTGAGCAGCAGGAGCAGCTTCGGCTTGGAATCCCACCCTGATGAATCCCACACTGACTATGGGCTGGACAAAGCCCAAAAGCCCACACATAGAGACATGTCCTCTGCCTCACCTACCTGTATCCCTCCCTACGTCTAGTGCTGCAAGAAACTAGGTTTGAGTCTTTAAAACCATTTAGGGGAAAATAATTTAAAAAAGAAGAGCTGCTTTCCCTTTTTTTATAAAATAAAAAACAACCCTATGAGGACCATGGATGTATGTGCCCACAGAGACATTAAGCAGCACATACCTGTGTTTAAAACAAAATGTTAATGTAGAAAAACTTGTCCCTTTTCCCATTTACAGTGCTTGAAATAAAACTTACTCAAACTTGTTATGGGCATCATATATACATTTAAGTCTTTATCACTAGTGTCCACATTTAAGTAATGTAACACATTTCCATTGTTTTGACTGCTGTCTCTGAGTTACAAAATGTTTCAAATTCTATGTGAGACTATTACTGCAGCTGTTAACCCAAGTTCAAGTACTAACTAAATAACATTAGGGCAGTTTTTTCACTTTACTTGTTTTATATGTCTATATTCTTATAAATATTTTGCTGTCCAAAGTTATCTTTAAAAGTCTGATTTAAAAGGAAGTTCTACTTTCATGTACAATGCAAAAAAATTAGCAAGACTTTCACTTCTACCCAAACAATAAGAAAAAGGCAGATATTCAATAACATTATAACTTCTTAAAGGTCAGCAGAAAGCTGAGGTCTTAAAACAAGCAGGTGAAATGAATTCCAAATCTCTCCATAGAAGAATAAGGAGTATGAGTTGACTCCACTTTGGAAAACCATACAGAGGAAATGGCCG